TTTCCCCTCCGGGACGCGATCCAGGGCAGGGCAGACAGTGCCTTCAGGTGCCGTGTCTCCAGCTTTGCTCTGGGACATTTCCACGTTGTCTTTGTCTTTGACCACGTTTGCTTTTCTCAGAGAATTCAGAACCTCCCTTTTAGTTCTAATAAAGCGTCGCTCATTTTGTCTCTGCCTGATGCTCCCTATGGTTAGACCCAGGTTCTGCACTCCCGGCTAGGATGTGACGTGACTGCCGCCCTGGCCCTCCCAGGGGTATCACATGCCGAGGCCCAGGATGTCCTCTGTGCCTCCTGGCTGATGTTCACGGTGGTCGTCTGCTTCCGCGTTGCCCAGTTTCTCTGCTGTGTAATTACTCTAACTGTGCTTTGCAGCTGATGAGCAGTCAGTGAGGAGATTCCTTGGAACAGTGCACTGTGAGATACCCTGCATTTCGTTAAAATTCCCTCTTAAGGGATGGCCCTGCACCCTTTTGGGAGACCAGGAGAAGCACCTGGTTCCTGGCTTCAGATCAGCACAGTGTGCCGGCTGCAGTGTGCCGGCCACAGTGGCTGTCTCTCTCTCTCACTGTCCACTCTGCCTGTCCAGAAAAAAAAAAAATCCTCTTAGGGTGGTGTGTGCCTGACCCAGTCTCTGCTGTGATGGTGGTGAGCTGACTTTCAAACTTCAGCACCGTCTTCCTGTTTCAGAGTCAGCCTTGGGCCTCTCCTGGAAGCAGGATCCGTCCTCTCTGCCCATGCATTACTCATCTACCTCTGCCAGTGGACCCATGATCTCGTTTCCTAGTAGCTTGTGTTTCATTATTTGGTGTCCAAAGCATTCCAGAGGTGGCCCGTGGGAGCTAGCTGGCAGCTGTGTCGTGGGGTAAGCCCCATCATTTTTTCTTCGTCATTCCCTTAAAACTTTTTGGTATAATGGGCCATTCAGTGTTCATCCTGTACTTACTCCACCCATCCATGAAATTGGTCTTTTCTCTGCCCTAGCTCCTCCCAATGGCCAGTACTGTTAGAAGTCAAGATCTGGGTGCCAGTGGAGCTCATGGCTCCTGGGGGGTCTTTATGTTTGCATCTTTCAGTGGACACAGCTAGGACATGTGTGCACACATGTAGGTAAAATACACACTGATGCGTGCATACATATGCATACAGTGGGCAGAAGTAGGGCACACAGGCACATACATACACAAAAGGCACACTGAAGCGTATGTGCAAACATGTAAAAACATACACACATGCTGACACATAAACATTTCAGGAATTGTGAGACATACAGTTACCAGCAGTTCCAGTCACGTTCAAGTCTTGCCCAGTCCACATCTGTGTGTCCCTTCCGCAGAGCGAGCCCTGGCAGATCCACACGTTGATCTGCTCAGTCCTCCAATATAAAAGCTTTAGGATTGCTTCGCCGGGATGGTTTGATATATAAAACAGAGTCCAGGGTGTGGCTGCAGTTCTCCCTGCCCCAGCCCTGCCTAGTCTTCACCATCCCCAGACTGCGGGTTTCGAGTCCACTATCATCTGCATAACTGCTGGTGTTAGCTTCCTGGGGAAGGTGTGGCATTTATTTTGAATAAATAATTTCTTTTCAGTTTAGGGTACTCCTTTCCCTTCTTATTGATTTAATTGCTTAAAAGTACTTATTTAATAGAGTATTAACCCTCAAAATTGCAAGAACTTATGTCCAAAGAAGTGGCCTTCCCTCCTGCCTGTCCCCTGTCCTTTCTCTGCAGCACTGTGGGCAGCCGACCTGCTTGTTTTCTGGAGTCTCTTTCCTGTGTTTCTCTCCACTGTGGATAACCAGCTTTCCATGTGCTCTCTCTGCCTTCTTCTTCTTCTGAAGATTTATTTGGAAGGCAGAGTTACAGAGAGAGAGGGAGGGACAGAAAGGGAGATCTTCCACCTGCTGGTTCACTCTCCAGAGGGCCCGAGCTGGGCCAGGCTGAAGCCAGGAACATGGAACTCCATCTGGGTCTCCTGTGTGGGTGGCAGGAGCCAAGTACTTGGGCCGTGTTCTGCTGCTTGCCCATTCACATTAGAAGGGAGCTAGGACTTGACTTGGTGCACGTATGGGGCGCTGGCCTCGCAGGCGGTGCTTCACCAGCTGTGCCCTCTCTGGTCCTGCTGCTCACACTTGGGTAGCATACTGCATGTGCTCCTTGGCTCCGTCACTTCTGTGTCTCCACAAGTCAGTCCTTATCGGTTCACGGAGGCCTTCCTCATTCTTCTTCCCAGCTGCACTGCATGGACTACAGTTTATTCAGCCAGCCTCTCACGCCTGGGCATTTAGGTAGTTTCCAGTATTTTGCAATTACAAGTAATAGTGCTGTGGGTATTCTTGTGTATAGACATTTTCATATTGTTGGAGCGTCCAGATAAATCTCTACAAGTGAGATTGCTTGCCTGAGGGGTGTAACAGTGATTTAAAGTTTCCTTTTAAGCTTTATTTAAATGGGAAAACAGTGAGATAGTTCAGATGAAATAAATAAGTATTACAGAGAAGTGACAAGAAATCAGAAAGGGAAGCAAGCGACTGTAGTTTGAGCAAAACCAGGCCAAGTTATTGCTGCAACAGTCCCTTTAGATTCCAGCATAGGCACCTGCCTCGTGAGGGCACAGTCTGTGGCTGGGCAGGAGACTCCCATCTCTGGCATCTGGCCTCCGGTCAGGTTGAGAGGCAGGAGCTGGACCATCTAAGTCTTCCAGTTCAGGTCCCATGTGTGGGGTGCACTCCAGCTGGGGGTCGCAAATGCACTTGTGCCTAACAGAGTTCTGGTAAGAGGGGAGGTGGTGTGAGGCGTCTCCCCACAAGAACACTTTGTGCACATGTCGGTGGACGACTGGGGGCTTGCATGTCTCAGCCACCAGGAGTCAGTGCCAGCCCTACCCACTGCCAGAACTTCCCTTGTTGGGTGAGACCAGTCATCCATTCAGGAGATACCCGTTAGCCGCTAGAGACACGGAGAAGAACCAGAGAAGGCCGCTACCTTGCTGAAGCCCGCCTTGCAGCAGAGGTGGGCAGGCAGCAGGAGACAGTGGAGGACAGCAAATCCTATGGCTGTCGATGCTGCGAAGTGGAATCAAGGTGGGCGGGCAGGCGGGGGGCAGGTCTGCAGAGGAGTTGCAGATAACTGAGGCGGACACTCGCGGAGGTTGGGCACAGCTCCCCATTCTTCAGGTGTGGCCTGCGCCTCGTGGCTTCCTTCCCCAGGACACAGGGAGGAGGGAGGAGGGAGGAGTAGCTTCACAGTGGGGAAAGCAGAGGAGTGCTAGATGAGCTCAGCCAAGCAGAAAGTGGAGCAGTCACAGGTCGTGTTCCAGTGGCCCTTGGTGTGATGTGGTGAGAAGGGCACTTTGTTTTTGCTTGTCTGTTTTAGGACAAGGACTTGGGCCATCTTGTACTGCTTTCCCAGGCCATAGCAGAAAGCTGGATCAGAAGAGGAGCAGCTGGGACTCGAACCAGTGTACATATGGGATGCCGGCACTGCAGGCTGGGGCCTTAACCCACTGTGCCACAGTGCCGGCTCTGAGAGAAGGGCACTTTCTTTCATGGCCTCCTTCCCAACCCATAACCCCCATCTCACTGCCAGAAAAACATCTGACAAACCCAGATCCAGGGATCCTTCAAAATCCTAACCCATTCTCCAATTGTCAAGGTCAGCAAAAGGGAAAAGCTCTAAGAAACTCTGTCAGCCCAGAGAGGCCTGTGAGTGACAGCTGAATGAATGGGTTTTGGGGATGGGAAAAAGACTCTGGGCAGAAAGTAACGAAATCCGAGCAAGGTATGCAGTGTAGTCGTAATGATCTGGAAAGCACAGTTGGAGAGGGCATCCAAAAAGATGTCTCCAAGGAGGTGACATTTGAGCTGAGTCTTGAACGGTGTGACCGAGTCACGCCCGGGTAGGGGAGCCCTAGGGTCACAGGCCTGCAGGCAGAGGAAGCAGCCGTGCCAAGGTCCTGGGGCAGAAACAAGCTTGGTGTCCTCTAGAGAGATGCTTGCATCACTGGAGTGACATGAGCCGGCGAGGCAGAGAGGGCCAGTGGGTGAGATCAGCAGTGGCCGGGGGCCAGGCTGTGCGAGTCCTCGAGGCTGTGGGAAGGCATTTGGATTCCATCCTGAGTGTGATGGGAAGCACTGGGAGTTTTGAACAGAAGGTTAACATGAGCTTATTTCCATTTCAAATCATCTGGGTTAGGGCAGCAAGCAAGGAAGCAGAGCCCAGTGCCGGGAGACCGCGGTGAAGGCCCCGGCAGAGCCCTCGGTGTGCTGTCTCTGGAAGCAGAAACGCAGGCTCACCTTTCAGCATCTTGTTACTCCCCAGTGTGTCTCCCCGAGGTGGGGAAGTGACCCGAACCCCCAGTGCCAAGGGCTGGCTGACTGCACATCCCACGGGGCGGAGGACTCCGAGAGGAGGGCACCTGAAAACGTGGCCCGAGACGACAGTGTTCTACCAAACTCTGCCCGAAAAGCAGAAACGCGCCCCACGTCTACATGGGCTGCTACGAGTTGCCCGTATTTAATTGGGGGTGAAAAAGTTCCTAACCTCCCTGTTCCCTCTGCACGTTGTAGATGGGCGGGAAACAAGGCTTCCGGCGTGTCAGAGTGTGGACAGCTTCCGAACATTCCCCTGACTTGCATTGTGTGTGATTAACCACATAGCACGTCTGTGAGGCTGCCTCAGATCCTTTGGGGGCAGAAATGTAGTACCAGTAAAGTAAAATAAATATCTTTAATCTTGAAATGAAATAAACGATGACAGCTTGTGTTCTGTTGTCAAACCCAGGCGCTTGGTTCCTGGTGCTGCCGAGATGACTGAGAGAGCAGTTTTGGCCTCTGCCTCATTTCTCCCCCAGCGCGTTGCTGGTGTTTCTGTCGCCATCGATGGGCATTTGCTTGACACGTTAGGAGCGATTTTCGTGTGCGTGTTCCCAGATCTGAGTCCCTGGGTAAACCTAGCGCTGTGGAGCCCTCTGGGCTGACCCCCGCCTCGTGTTTGCTTCCAGAGATCGAAATGGTGATCATGGAGCGCAGCAAGCTCTCGGAGCTGGCCGCCTGCAGCTCCGTGCAGGAGCAGAACACCACGGACGAGGAGAAGAGTGCCGCCGCCACGAGCTCCGAGAGCGTGCAGTGGAGCAGGTACGGCCCCGGGCCCTGCCCAGAGCTCAGGCCACCGCTGCCGGCTGGGGCTCGCTGCGTCAGGAGGAGATGGGCTCAGCTGGGGCACTGGCCTCCTCCACCCACCAGATGGCCAGGCTGCACTGCTTCCCTGCCTTTCTTTCCTCCTCCAGCCACTGACCACCTGAAGACAGGGCTCCTCCTGAGAGGCCTGGGGACAGAGCTGTCACTCAGTGCTGGGTGATTGCCCCTTGGAGAACGCGCAGGGTAGCTTTTGGAACCTGGGCCCTAGGTGAAGTGAAGGTTGTGGTCCGTGCCTCACACTGGCCGCTCCGGATCTGCTCTGCTGTTTCCAGGAGGGATCCCCTTGGGAGCTGGGCTTGACCTCTCTGCCTCACTCATTCACTGCCCTGCACCCTCCAACCACAAAGCTCCCTGCAGGACCCAGCAGGCATGACACAAAGCTGCTGTTCACCTTTGACCTTTGCCTGACAGGTCAGTTCCACGGTGTCCTGCTGAAGCTACAGTTCCTGCACCCTCAGCCAAGTCACGTTTCCTGGAACCTTGCTGTGGCCCCACCTGCTCCACAGTGGTGTTGCCCCCAGACATGCGATAAGCATTTGGGAAGCCTTCCCACTGCACAGCCCTTGCGCTAGCTTCCTAAGTGCACGTCATGGGCCCTCAGGGTGGGCTGGCAGAGAGACACAGTGCCCATCCTCTTTGTTAAGCCAGCCTACAGTGAGGGCTTGAAGCCCACCAAGGTTTCCCTCTACATCTTGTTTCTATCTCTGCGTGACAAATGTTTCAGCTGTGTAACAGATGGAGTTGATTTTTATCAGATGTGCAAGAGAGCCATTTTTAGTTCCTACTAAATAAAAAACATTGGAGTATGGTGTGGGCTATCAGTTATTATAAAGACCTTTTTGATTTTGCTTGGCAGCTAAAATGAAGTTCCGAAGCTCTGGAACTTAAGGAAGTCATTCTAAACACAGAAGGTGGGGCCAGCCTTTAGATGCTGGGCACAGCATTGGTTAGGTGGCGAATACTGGAAAGCCCACGATGAGTAGCGGTGGAGGCTGCTAAGCAAGAGGGAACATTTTGGAAGAGTAGAATATTTTTGCTGCTTTAAGTGAATTACAGCCATGATGAGTTCAGTTTCTGAACTCGTAAATGGAAGCCAAGCACATATTTTGCGTAGTACCATAATGCTGTATCTTTGCTAATGGAAGAAAAACACCCATGCAATGCTCAGTAAAAAGGTAAGAAACAGACCTAAATGCTACACTGGAATGTTGCAGTGGGTAACTCCTTTCTCTCCGAGTTTTAATGAAGAGGAGTTGACTTAGGGTTGGCTGGGGTTGTCACTTGACTTTGGGTGACTCTTGACTGGCATCTTTGACCATGGCATAGAAGCTGACTCAGGGGCCTGGAGTTGGCCATTGTGGGCCTGGGAATTGTTGGGCCAGCTCTCTGCTCTGCTGTGAGACCAAAGGCCAGGAAAGAGCCCAACTGTAGTGGAGAGTTCCTGTCTCCTACTGATTGTCAAAAATCAGGAGGGCCTGCATCTGCTGAGTCCCGGCCTGAGAGCCAGGAGGTGCTGCAGGTGAGGGACCGTGGCCATGTGCCCCCAGGGCGTGGACCAGGACTTGGCTTGGATCCACCTGCCCACAGAGACAGCAAAGGAAAGTAGAATTCTTCTTGTATTTCCCATGCATTACTGGCTATACCTGCTTTCTAGGGTTAGGCTTCAGAATTGAAAAACCTTCCAAACATTGTATTCTTAAAGAAAAATCTTTAAAAAATTATGAAAGTGTGGGGCCGGCACTGTGGCAGTGCTGGCATCCCATATGGGCACCAGTGTAAGTCCTGGCTGCTCTGCTTCTGATCCAGCTCCCTGCTAATGCACCTGGGAAAGCAGTAGAAGACGGCCCCAGTTCTTGGGCCCCTGCACCCATGAGGGAGACCCCGAAGGAGCTCTTGGCTTCAGATCAGCCAAGCTCCAGCTATTGAAGCCATTTGGGGAGTCAACCAGTGGATGGAAGATCTGCTCAGTCGCTCGCTCTCTCTCTTTCTCTGCCTCTGCCTCTCTGTGACTCTGCCTTTCAAATAAATAAATAAATTTTTATAAAAATTATGAAAGTATAATGAAGGGGAAAAATAGTCTCCAGGTACCAGCTCTCAAAGCAGCTGTTGCTACCACTTGGTTATTTATTTACAGGTTTTTTTCAATATCAGCACCTTGGGAATTCTGCCCCTCATCCCCCAGTATTTTGGATTGTCCTGTGTCTATCATTTCCTGTTCTTTTTTCCATCTAATATCAAATCCCAAACATCCTTGATATACTTGGTAAGCAGAATGCTTAATGGCTTTGTAATACTTCATCTCATGAAAGAAAAGATGGTCTGTCCACGCAGCTCTCCCTCTGCCGTTGCACTTGGTTGTGGAGAGTATTCCCAAATAAAAACACAATGCACATTTCAAGAATTTTTTTAAAGATTTATTTATTTGAAAGAGTTACACACAGAGAGAGAAAGAGAGAAATCTATCTGATGGTTCACTACCCAAGTGGCCACAATGGCCAGGGCTGAGCCAGGCCGAAGCCTGGAGCATCTTCCAGATATCCCAAGTGGGTGCAGGAGCCCCTACACTTGAGTCATCTTCTGCTGCTTTCCCATGCCATTAGCAGGGAGCTGGACTGGGAATGAATCGGCCAGGACATGCACTGGCGCCCATAGGAGTTTGGCTTCGCAGGCATTGGCTTTACGCACTCTGCCACATGCCACCCCTTCTTTTAATTTTTGTGTGTCATGTGTTCATTTAAAATGCTATGAAAAGTACATCTTCACTGGTTTTGCATTTTTCATTTTAATGTTCTGATTCAGTGAAACATCTGTGGAGTTTAATTTGTTGAAAAGCATAAGTGATTCCGCAGAGAACAGTGTACCTGTTTCTCTGCCCCCTCAGTTTCACTCCCCACAGACACTGATGTTGACAGTAGCTTGTGTGTCCTTCCAGGGGTTAGCTGTGTCCGTGGTCACCATTGAGGTGTTCTACTCTCTTGGCCTCCACCTGGCATCCAGAGAGGGCAACCACAGCCCGCCAGGGGACCACGCCTTCTGCTGTTAGGCCAGGTCCATGCGTGTTCCAGTGTCCTTGTATTGAAGAGCTGTTCTGGGCCAGGTCCTTCACCTGGAAGGGCAGCATTTGCGATGTGCGGGTTCCCATGTTTGCAGCTGCCCTGTGGATCTCACCCGCAAAGTGTCAGATCTGAGAGAGCTCGCAGTTGGTTCTTACTGGCCAAGAAACTGCTGGGCCAGGACCCTGCACAGTGAAATCATGGGAAGTGCCCTGAATAGAAATCAGATAGCAGCTCCCATGTGTCGGCCCCTCCTCAGCGCCTGCCCTCGTGCTGAGTGCCTTTTCCAGTCCTCACGGTAATCCTGCAGGGTTCTAACCTCTGTCAGAGGGATGGTAAGTAACTGGCCGAGGGGTTTGCAGAGAAGCAGAGGCAGGATTAGAATCTTAACCCAGGCAGTCCAGCCCCGGGCCCATGCTCTTGAACTTGCTCACACGGTTGTGCCTTGTCTGGTAGCAGTTGCCCGTCACACTGCCCTGTTTCCTTCATTCTTTTGTGACCCACATGGTTCTGAAGAGAGAGTGTGTGTGTGTGCAGTCTCTGCTGAGTGGCGCAGCAGTGCCCAAGAGCCAGGAATGTGTGTCGTCGATCCCCAGCGTTAGGGACACCAGGAGGAAAGTTGTCGAATGACTGCGTGATCTGTGCCGTCTAGAGTTACCCCTCTAGACGGCGGCGTCCACGTCTCATTTGTCCTAGAGCTCGCAGTGCCTCGTGCTGGACTGGCACACAGTGGACTCACTCCATGCTAGTTGCCAGGAGAGGCAAGGGAAGTGAGTGCCCTGCAAGCAGAGTCCACTCATGTATGCCCCTCCTCCTTTCCAGACCCTTCCTGGATATGGTGTACCATGCCCTGGACAGCCCAGATGACGACTACCATGCCCTCTTCGTGCTCTGCCTCCTCTACGCCATGTCTCACAATAAAGGTAAGCACACCCACTCCCCGCCTTCCGGCCTGCAGGGTCCTGCCCTCTGCTGCGTGGAGGAGGAGGAGGGCACTCTGGGTGGAGGTTCTTCTCTGGCCCCCGCAGCCTCCCACGAGACTGCTGTGCGCCGTGTTAGAACTGCTCAGGTGTGTTCTGCAGACTGAACCACAGGAATCTGTTACTCAGGCCGTGTGAGGGAGAGGGTGTGTTGGTTGTCTAGGCCAGTGTGATGTCTTCACACTGTGGTTTGCTTTCTGCCCCTTGCTTCAGCACTGACTTAGCGCCCAAGCTCCCTCCTAACATCATAACTGAAATCAGTCAAATTGTAATCTTGGTTTTGCTATTTATAACACTCGATATTCTTGCTCAGAAAGACCTGGGGTGGGTTTTGTGGAAGTTTAGATTTCCTTTCTGAGGACATGTGTGGTTCTCTGGCTTCCCCTGTTGAGGCTGTGTGGCCAGGATCCAGCTCCTGTAGCCCTGATGGAGTTCATTAGGACTCGCTCATTGGCCCCTTCCCTGCCGACTGCTGGGAGCCGCCACTGGTGTCTGCCCCCTGCGGCTGAACACGGTGTGTTCCGAAGCCTCTGCCGCAGGGTCTCCTCGAGGAAGAGTTTAGTAAGACCCTTTCTAGCCCTGCCAAGAGCTGGGCTTGGCGTCTGTGAGCCATTGCAGTCATACGCTTCCTGAGGATAGACAGAGGCGCTTTCCAAGACAGCCTGTGGCTAAAGACAGTACAGTGCACTCAGCGTAACTGTTCTCAAGTCATTCATCGTAATAAATGTGAAGGGCCAGCGCTGTGGCGCAGCAGGTTAAAGACCCGGCCTGCAGCACCAGCTCCCATAAGGGTACCAGTTAGAGGCCCGGCTGCTCCACTTCTGATCCAGCTCCCTGCTAATGCACCTGGCAGGGCAGTGGAGGATGGCCCAAGTCTTTGGTCCTCTGCACCCCCATGGGAGACACAGAAGAAGCTCCTGCCTTCACATTGGCTCAGGTCTGGCTATTGTGGCCATTTGGGGAGTTAACCAGCAGATGGATGATCGTTCTTTTTCTCTCTCTCTGTCTCTGCTTCTTTCTGTAACTCTGCCTTTCTTTTCTTTTCTTTTTTTATTTATTTGACAGAGTTATAGACAGAGAGAGACAGAGAGAAAGGTCTTCCTTCCGTTGGTTCACTCCCCAAATGGCTGCCACAGCCGGCACTGTGCCAATCTGAAGCCAGGAGCCAGGTGCTTCTCCTGGTCTTCCATGCGGGTGCAGGGCCCAAGCACTTGGGCCATCCTCCACTGCCCTCCCGGGCCACAGCAGAGAGCTGGTGTGGAAAAGAAGAAACCAAGACTAGAACCAGCACCCTTATGGGATGCCGACGCCACAGATGGAGGATTAAGCAAGTGAGCCATGGCACCAGCCCCCAACTCTGCCTTTCAAATAAACAAATTTTTAAAAAATGCAAATTGGTGACAAAGGAATAAGTGACAGCTTCTCAGAAAGTTCGTAGAAAATGGATATTATGGAAAAACTGCGTGGATTTCAAAGCATTTTGCAGCACAGCCAAGTTTCAGTTCTGTTTCTGTGAACTTTTGAAGCTGCTCGTTTAGCAAGAAGGGCTGCCCTCCTGCTCTGTCTCCTAACTCTCCTCTTCTTTCGCCGTGCAGACCTAAGCTGTAGTGTACTGGTGTACTTAACTTCCATGACTGTGCCCCACTTCCTTGCAGCGGCTGACAGACGTGTCCGTGTTGTCTGTCCTGTCTGGCTCTTCTCACGGGTCTTCACGGGTCAGCACATGGTTTCACATGTTCTTTGTATTCCTCTGTTTGTCTGGGCCCTCCCCTTCTTGAATGGCACTGCTCCCTGGCTTTTCCTGCTGTGGCCTGGGCACGCTGTGATAGCCGTGCCTGGGACGTTTATAAGAAGTGTGGCAGGCTCCAAATGCGCTGACATTTCTGTCACAGCCTCTCTCACTCTCGTGGCCCCTGTGATGCCTTCCAGCACCTGGCACACAGGAGCCCTCCGTTCCAGGAAGCAAGGGGAACTCCGTGAGATTAACTGATCACCACCCTCGGACTGCCCTCCACCCACTCCCCAGGCCCTGCACTCCGTGTCCTCCTCCTGCTGGCTCTGCACTGTTAACTCCTGCTGCTGGTCGGACTCCTGTGGAAGTGCTCAGCAGTGCCTTGAAACAATCTCGTGTGACGTTTGCACCTGAGAACACACCCTACCTTGTCAGACTTCCTGCCATTTCTGTTTCATATGAAATTACCAACCAAGGTTGAAACTCATGAAATTTACTTTTCTCTCCTTTTTCCCCCCTAATTTTTATTTGTTTATTTGAAAGAGAGAGGGGGCTCCCATCTGCTGGCCCATTCCCCAGATGCTCACAACAACTAGGGGACCAAAGCTGGGGATGGATGGGAACTCAGTCTAGGTCTTCTATGTGGGTGGCAAGAACCCAGCCACCCCAGCCATCACCACTGCCTCCCAGGGTTCACACAGGTAGGAAACTGGAGTCAGCAGTTGGAGCCAGGAATCAAACCCAGCTGTTCTGCTGTGGGACATGGGCGTCCTAGCCAGCGTCTCGACCCCTACGCCAGACACCCGTTCTTCCCCTCCTTTGATCCCTGTCACTAATCGGGTTTTGTTCCTTCTCTTCATTCACTTCTCAGTTAACATACTTTAATTGAGTGCTCACTGAGCACCCAGCCCCAAGCCAGGTGTTGGTAAGAAACCGCATGGGAGCGAGAGAGGTCTGAGCGTGTCATTCCAGTGGCCATGATCTCATGCCTGGACCAATGAACGGCCTCTCTGAGGGTCAGACATATCGCCAATTTATACTCCGTCCTTTATAGCTTGCCGGAGAATCCTCTGAGTGTAAGATTGCTTTAGGCATAGGCTGTCCCTGCTCAGAAACTTTAAGCGCAGGGGTGAACGTCGTAGCACGGCAGGGTAAACAGTGCTTGGGACACTTGTTCCCATAGGAGAGGGCCAGTTTGAGTTCCATCTACTCTGCTTCCAACCCAGCTTCCCATTAATGTGCCTGGGAAGGCCACCCCAGTGGGAGATTCGGGTGGAATTCCAGGGCCTGGTCTGTTCAAGGCATTTGAGGAGGGAACCAGTAGATGGAAGACCTCTCTGTCCCTCTTTCTATCACACTGCCTTTCAAATAAGGAAATGAATCTTAAAAAACAAAACAAAACAAAAAAAAAAACAAAAAACTTTAGTGCCTTCCTCTCTCCCTTAAACTCTGTCCTCCCATACTGTCGTTTGTGGAATCCATATTTCACATACCTTTCCAGCCGGATCTGATTCCCGGGACTTGCATTCACAGGTCCTTGGCTGTGGCCCAGGGGTTTTCAGTGTTTTCTGTAGTGACAGAACTCTTTCATAATATGAAACTTGTGGCCACTGTCGTACTCACTGAGGTCTTTAATTTCTTCTGGTTGCAACGGAAACTGCCTCTGGCTGACCCGAGCTACAGGGAGCCTCTTGAAGACTCTGTGGCAGCTCACAGGACCCAAGAAGTTGCTGAAAAGCTTGAGAGAAGACACGAAGCAACCAGCTCTGGGCTCTTGCGCAGCAGGCATTCATGGATGGGGCTTGCGTCAAGGGCACCGAGTTGATCCCACTGAATCCCAGGCGGGGAATCTCCTCCACTGAAATTTTAAATTCCTTTTTTTTTCCTTTTATAGATTTATTTATTCAAAAGTCAGAGTTACACAGAGAGAGGAGAGGCAGAGAGAGAGAGAGGTCTCTATCCGATGTTTCACTCCCCAGATGACTGCAACAGTCGGAGCTATGCCGATCCGAAGCCAGGAGCCAGGAGCTTCTTCTGGGTCTTCCGAGTGGGTGCAGGGGCCCAAGGACTTGGGCCATCTTCTACTGCTTTCCTAGGCCATAGCAGAGAGCTGGATCAGAAGTAGAGCAGCCGGGACTAGAACCGGCGCCCATATGGGATGCCGGTACTTCAGGCCAAGGCATTAACTTCCTGTGCCACAGCTCTGGCCCCTGAAATTTTAAATTCTTGGGTAGCAAATCTGAATGTTCCAGTTTGGGCTGTGTCTAAATCTAGAACATTCAGTTTGGGCTGGGGGTCAGGGTCACATAGAACATATTCAGTCCCTGGGGGCTCAGCCTTGTGTCTGGGACTCTTTCTGGAAGCCTGGCCACCTGGCTGGTACCAACACACCTACCTGACCCTGGACAGTCCACCATCTTCCTTTATTCATCCGTGAATTTTCCTGCCATTTGCTCTCCCTGGCATCACCAGCTGTTGAACTTGGGTTTGTTGGTCGAGGGTCCAGCCTTCCAGAAGTTCTTTCCAGTGGCTTCTGATGAGGTTCACTCTGGGTTACCTGCTGATGGAGCACTGTATATATGTTGCTAGGTTTGGTTTGCTGACAAATTATTAAGGCTTTTTGTATCTGTATTCATGAATGGCACTGGTCTGTAGCCTTCTGTCCTCTGTTTTTGCTGTCAGAGTTATGCTCACCTTCTGGAATGAATTGGGAAAGAGTCTCCCCTCTCTGGGGTCACACTCCTGTGCTTCCTGGTGTCCTGTCAAGGGTCTGCTGAGTTTTGTTTTGTGTATTTCCTCTCATTTTCTGAGTTGCTTTGGTCAGGAGGGTGAAGCCAATCCATCTTGGCAGGAAGCCCCGGCATTTTTTTTTTCTAAAGTTTTATTGAGTTACAATTGATATGTAATACACCTCACATGTTTGAAGTCTACAATTTAAAATGTTTTGATGTTAACACCCCTGAAACCATGAGTATACTCAGACATTGTACACAAGCATTGCTCCGAGTTTCCTCATGTCCTTCCTAGCCTCCCATACCCTTCTCCCCACACAACAGTAGATACGAGTGTGCATTTTCTAGAATTCCCTATAAACAAAACCTTGTAATATGTACTCTTTTTCATGTGACGTTTCAATCTATGATTTTTTAAGGTCCACCCATGATGCTGGGAGTATCAGTGTTTCATTTCTTCGGACTGTTAAATAGTATAG